GCAGCAAGGACCACTGGCTTCCAATGGGGAGCCAGCATTTAATTTTTATTACATTTTTTTTGGTGTTGATTTTACAGGTTTTGTGGACAATCCCAGATTTCATGGTTTCTGCAAAATCCATGAAACTGCACATTAAACAGATCCCTATTTATGCTTCTTGGTTCACAAAGTAGTTCTGCATTTTTCATCAGTATTTAGTATATATGCTAGTGTTTCTCAACCTTTTTAGACTTGAGGCACCCGTCTAAAAATACTAGCTTTTAATTTTCACTTGTTTTTTGACTACAGAAAAATAGTAGAACAATTCTTCCCTTTTGGAGAACTCTTAAAGACCACAACCAGTCAGAATGTTTTTGACCATATGGATTCCTCTTTGAAATTTCTGGGTTTATCTTGTTAGTCGTGTTTGCACACCTAACAACGCTGTCATCATATGTTACCCTATGGCACCCTTGTAAGGATCTCAAGCATTGGTGACGCGACAGGGGAGTCTGTGGGAGCGTGTGTTCCCCCATATTCTGTGCTAACAGCATGGCACAGGGAATGGGGCTACAGCCTGACCAAAGCCAGGATCCGGCAGCAGTGGGAGTGGGTGGTGATAGCACTGACATAGCATCCACACCAAAGCTCCTCTGCAGCAACAGGGTTAAATCATTCTTTGCTCAACAGCTGGCAGAAGATGAGTACAGCTACTTTTTGGCCTCCTGGCTGCTGCAGTCCTAGCAGCAGTTTGTGCCTCCCCAAGCTATACTTCACACCATGGAAGCACAACTGCTGAGTGCAACATAGCCATAACAGAACTACCACTGGGGCTAAGTACAGGCAGTCAAAAAGCCTGAGGCTGAATCGATTCAATGTTTGCGGGTTCCTCTAAACTGCATAGATTGAACTGATAAGTAAGTGAACTGATGTTCACTTTTCAAACAGGAAAGGCAGCCAGACCCCTGCAGTGGCCTATATCAAGAGCTGCTGGGTGGTAAAGCAGACCTCCCAGCCTGCTAGCCACTGCAGAGAGCTGGGACTTGGTTGATTCCCCCAGCCACACCCCCTCCTCAGCCTTTGGGTTGGCTGAGGAAGAGATGGGGGGGAAAAAACCCACCCTTCCAGCCTGGCGTTAGACCCAAATATGGGAGCAGCCAGGAGCAAGGTGGGGGGGAAGCCCAAACTGGGGGCTTTGCTCCACCTGCCCAGAGCCAGGAGCAGGGCTGGAGTCCCCAAGCCATGCCCCACTCTCAGTCTCCAGGCTGGCTGAGGTGGTAGGTGCATGGGAAGCCCATACTGGGGTTTGGCTCTGCCTGCCCCCCCTGGAGTGGGGCTGAAGTCCCCCACCCACACCCCCCTCTTTAGTCTCTGGCCATCATCTCCAAAGCATGGCTGGAGACTGAAGAGGGGGCATAGCTAGGGGACTTCAGCCCCGCTCCAGACTCCTGGCTCTGGGGCCCTGGTACAGGCTCCCACCCCACTTCCCTGCCGGGCCAGAGACTGAGGAGGGGGTGTGGCAAGGGACTCCAGTCCTGCTCCTCGCTCCCAGGTCTGGGGGCAGAGTCAAGCCCTGATTCAGGCTTCCCTTGCCCCCCAGCTGGCCTGCAGACTGAGGAGGGGGGCATGGCTGGTAGACCCCTGCTCTGCTCCTGGCACCCTAACTCTCTCCCCTGCCCCTCTACACCAGGCTGCATTCAGCTGTGGGTTGGGTGCTGGGCCGGAGGGATGGGTTTTTCCCCTCCACCCTCTTCTCAGACAGCCAGAGGTATGCTAGTGCTCTGACTAGGGAGCAGAGGGGCAGGGCAGACCCTGCTCAGCCAGAGCAGACAGCACAGCCCAGGGCTGCAAATCATCCTGGGATGCTGTGGGATTGTTAGTTAACTTGAACCAGGAAGGGATCTTGGACAGAAGTTCCATAAAACAGCTTGACCTAAATCAGTTAAGTCTGATATTACATCCAACCAGGTTATCTTAAACCTGTTTCAGCCATTTTGAAAGCAGTTTAAGTGCACTGAATGTCTGTTTTGTTACAGGTTTAAACCTGTTTCTGATCACTTAAACGTGTTTATGTGTAACTTCTGTCCCTAGCCCAGGACACAGACTTTTTCTTCACAATATGCCTGTGAGATAACATGGTATCCTCTCCATTTTACACTTGAGGAACCTTTGGCACTGAGTGATTAAAGCCATAAGTGTTCAATAGTTTTAGGTGTCTAACCCGAAACACTTAGAACTAGTATTACAACTTTTTTAAGGTTCCAATAAATTCTCATGCTTCAGCTGGATATTTACAAACTGAGATTTTTTTTTTGGAGGAGATAACCAGGAATCCTGGTTCTCTCTTATTAAAAAAAATCCCCAATTTTCAATTTACAAGATGCAACCCAAAATCCATGATTTTCCATGACTGAAATGAAACACCACTAAAATAAAATATAAATTAGTGGTGTTTAATTTTAATCACAGAAAAATGTGGATTTTGGGTTACTTTTTTAATCTGAAAATTGGGGATTTTTCTTTAATCAGAGAAAACCAGGATCCCTGTTGATAACCCAGCTAAATCTGAACACATTTTTCAGCAGGGCACAAAAGGCACATTTCTGAATTTAAGGTGATTCCTTCTGCCAAACCAGAATAGAAGCACTAACTTTTTAACAAATGCCTGTATCCTTTTTTTTTAAACATGCAAAAACAGTGTATTTAGCCTAATATTAGTTTCTGAAATGGCTGAAATTCAGTCTCACATAGATCCCCACCATGAAAAATTTATTCTTAAAAGTTAGAGTTTAGCAGCTGAAAACAGGGTCATATAATGGAAAGTGCCAGGCATCTTGAACTATACAAGCAATGTCATCACTTCTGCCTTTAATAACCCAAAAGAATTGCACAATTCATCAATGGCTTCAGTAAATACTGAACATAAGTCCTGAATATGCAATAAAAATGATTTTTCAAGCCGCAGTAACTTATAAACTTAAAGTGATAAATGCATATAAAACGTATAGGGGCAGAAGTTACACATAAACAGGTTTAAGTGATCAGAAACATGTTTGTGTTGGGAACAGTCTTGCAGAAGTCAAAACTAACATCCTCTTAAACCTACCTACATTTTTATTTTGTAAATGTATATCTATTATTCATCATTTATTTTTTTGCCATTAGAAATATAAATTAACTCCAACTGAGGGCAAGTTTCAGCTCAGGAATGCTCTTACGACTGAGTTGTAAAATATCAGAAATGGGAGTTCATAATGGAATTTCAGGTGAATCCTTCTTAAGTCTGAATACAAAACATCACTGTTTAATTAGAACATTAATTTTTACTGTGTAATTATAATACTTATTTAATAATAACACAACGTAGTATAATTTTAAACCGTGTGATTTTGTTTTCCTTCTCCAGAAGCCCAGTAATATTCTGGTTACATAATTTCTGTAATCAAAGGAAACATCAGCTGAAGCTGGTGAAGTGCTTCCTAAAAAATGTGTTTTGTATTACTTGTTCTTACCCAAAACTAAATCCAGCACCTGGCGAAATGCCTCCCTGTCTCTGCAGTATAAAGAGAACATCCTGGTAGGATCAAAACTACACAGAACTTTGACAGGTAAGATCTGTCACAATAACCAAGGGTAAAATCCTGGCTCTGGTGAACACAATAGAAAAACTCCCATTCACATCCGGATTTTACCTTAAGACATTCATCTTACAGTCAATTCTACAGGAGAAAACTCATATCTAAGCAAAATCTCTGGTTGCACTGAAGCACTGGCTCTCCCAAGGAATATCTCCATGCACAATCAGGACCCCAAATGGGTTTGCTATTAACTATGATTTTTAAGCAGTCTTAAAAAGCAGACTTCATTTATTTCTAAAAATCTTATTTCTGTTGCCTTTAACATCTTCAGCACTGATACTTGCCTCACCATCCAAGCAATAATGCCAGTACCCATCTGAAGTGCTTGCACATTTAAGAGGCCTACAAACCTACTCATATAAAATTAGTTAAAAGCAATTCAAATAATGATCCTAACAGTATCCTGTGATAGTGCACTCACTCCATTGTACCGCTCATTGGTGGATAACATTTTCTCAATGCTAGGATAGATATGGCTGAACACAGATGTACAAAATGACTACCTTTTTAAAAAGGAAATTGTCCAAAGAAAAATATGGATTTTTATCATTTCCTTTAACTTGAAACTAACTGTATATAGTACATATATTTATTTATGCATAGGGAATATATTTTGTTGTAGTAGCTTATTTGATATTACCAGAGTCTATACTGCTTCACCTATGATTGTTATTGTATTTCAATTGTCTGTACAGTCCTCAGAGAATATTAGTGACAATATTATTTTATCATTATTATAATATGTTTTGTTTGATTGTCTGTTCCCTTACTTTACTATTCTAAAATAAATGCTCTCATTTTTATGCTTTAACCCTGCAGAGAAAGGTATTTAGTGTTTGACTTGGCTTCTCCATCACCTGTTTTATACTCTTGTTGTCTTGTTCCAAAGATGCCATGTAGGTGTATGGCCCCTCGAACACCTTGACTGTGGCCACAAGGGGAAGCAGGTGTTTTAACAACTAAGTTGGGTCAGTTAGTATTTTCTTGGGTTGCCGTTTTATATGCCTTTCTAGGATGATATAATCTTCATTGATGTTGCTTGGAAACAGGCAGACCTGTGCTCTGAGCATTTTGTCACTAGGGGAAAGATGGAAGGGTAGGAACTGGGCAATTCAGAAAACACAATTATGAGGTATTTAGTCTTTTTCCTTTATCCCATGCTGATTGCTGTTAATGATAAGCAATATAGTTGAAGTGCCACATCCAAATTGGGATAAGGGAGAAAGAGGAGAATTCAGAAACTCAGCATTTGGTGGGGCGGGTGGTAAAATCTACTTTATCCCTTTTGTAATTCTGGCAGCTGATTAGACTGTTTCCCTGGTGCCAGGCTGCAGGGATAGGAGGGGAAGAGAGAAAGGAATAAAAAAGAAGAGTAACACTCACCAGTGACGCGAATGGATTCCAGCATCATTCCTCCCGCAGTTGTATGGCTGGGTGGGTGGGTGTGTCGGACTGTCACTCTGCCTGTCTCTCTTGCCCTCACACCCAGAAGATACTCCCTGTGCCAGGCCCCAGCATGGAGAGCTGAAAGGTACCAAAGGAAGGATGTAGTGTCCCCTTTTGTTAGTGGGGGGGTGCAGGAGGAAAGGGCTGAGGTGGCTGCAGCAATGGGGAGTGTGCTGGATACTGCCCCCTCCCCCTGCACTCGATAGCAGCAGCAGCAAAAGCAGCCACCTCTCCTATTCCTCCTGCTCCTATTGCTGCTGTTCCTTCTTCAGATCCAGGAGCAGCCAGAGAGCATGGCTACCTCTGTTGCCAGGACACCCATCGCCTCCTTCTTCCATGGCTCAAGGCAGCCTTGGTGGGGAGCAGGAGGCAGCTGCTGCGCAGAGCTCTGCAGAGCTGGAGACTACACATCCCAGGCTGCAGTGCTCCTCCTTCATCCCTGCACACCTATGTGCAACTGGAAGCAAGGAGGAGCATGGCATGCTGGGATTCGTAGTGTGAGGGGGATACATCCCCCCCGCCCCCAACAACCCAGACTGAGGGGATGGGAGAGCTCTCTGAGGTAGCAAGGCAGTATCCCTGAGCTGCCAGCACCAGGCATCCCAACATCTGAGGCAGCCTGTGCAGTATGCAGTGTAATGGAGATGGGCACAATCCCCCCTGGCAGCACTTCCACCTGGTCAAGGGGGCAGAAGTAGAGGCACGGACAGAGCAGGAGCTTTTATTTATTAGTGTTATCATCTTTGTCCCCTTTACATGCAACACTGGATCAAAATCCCCAGTGAACTTAATATTAATAGGCGCCTCTACACAAGACGCTGCATTGCTGAAATGATGAGCTACAGTGACATAGCGTCGGCAGGCACTAACCATGACACTGCCGCTACTGTGCATTAACAAGTTACTGCACAGTAGCTCATTGCTACTGTGCAGTAAAGTTAGAAACAACCGTGTGCCGCTAGGACTGCGCAGTACTGGCAGGTACTGCTCAGACATTTAGTACTTGCTGAAGTACTAAGCAACAGCTAAAGAAAGTAATAAATGACTGCGCGGTACCCACTGCGTAGTGGGGTGTACATGTAAACGCACCCAATGAAATGTACAGCTCAGGGATAAAGTGGAACAGTGTGACTGAGGCCAGTTTTATCATTCAATGAATGTGTCAACTGAGTGCAAAATACACCATGCTGAGAACCAAGTTACGCACTGCATAAGCACCTTCAACTCTCATTCAAGTTAATGGAAGCTGTATTAACTTATATCCGCGCAGCATTTAGCATCTCAAAAGTCAAGGAGGTAATGGGCAAGGAAACTGCTTTATTTTACATCATGCTGCATGTTTTTGTTATTAGGACACCCTTCCACTTCACACAGAAGTTACACTTCTTCTAAATACCACCCCAGGGTAAAAGAAGAATAAGTTATAATATCTTGTCACATACCATAGATTGATGCAGATTTGTTTTAGGAAGGTTTTCCTTCAATGCAGACTTCCATATACCACTGAACTAAATATTTTTGTATCAGATGCTAATGAAATGTGTTTTGGTACATGAATACATATTGATTTACTAAATGGCCTGCACTTAACTGCAAAATTACTAGTAATGTAAATAATGTTCAGTATACACCATCTGAACACAAAAATACACAACACATTTCATAAATATATTTGTGAGTGATATTGTACTGATATTTTCATAAATTTAATATAAATAAAAATAAAATAAAAGTATGACCTTGTTGTTTTAGGATGTAACAGGAAATGAATATCCATAAGTGCTAAATCTTTGGGGGCTCTGGTAACCCTTATCCACCAGTTTATTGCCTGATTCTGAGTCCTACCTGAAAATGTTCTATGGAACTCCATGAATCCTCCTTATGGATAACTTTAAGTGTACAATCATATGACTGAGTAACCGGGCTCTCCTCACATTATGCTGATCATATAGATTTTATCTTTCATGTCACGCTTTGTAGGTCATGAATATAAAGAGCAATATGTCACCCATCCATTTTAGATTTTAGTTTTCTGACATAGATGTTTGAAATTTCAAAACTTCCATAATACAGAGAAGGCACCTAAGGAGAACAAAGGATGCAAAAGCAATAGTTAGAAAATAAGTTTCAGATTGTATCAGAATACAAAAATAATACATTCCTTATATCTTATTTTATTATCACAAGGCCTCATATGTATTAGAAAGAAGGGAAAGATACTTCACATCTGAAAGCTTATCTAAGATCTCCCCCAAATATACAGTTAACCCTTGCCTCTTGGGAGTTTAAAACTCATTTTATGAAGAGGGCTCTGAATGATATTTTCAATGTCCTTACTGAAGTTACACATAATAAAAGGCTGATAAATTTAAGGTCCTTTTAATTTTAATAGTTCTAGGGGTGGAAAAGAAACCAAATTTAAGATTAACCTAAAATAATCTAATTTGCTACTTTTATACAATACTACAGGTCTTTCTCCAAATCTAAAATCTCAGGAACTGAAACAGCAGATCTCAGCAATTTGTTATAATTTGCTCACCAGCCAGTTGGTTATGACAGAACATTATTTATTTATTTTTAGATTTACATCCCACCCTATCCAGGACTGCTACATGGCAATAAAAATTAAATCAAATCAAACATAACAAAACAGTAGATCACATTCAAGTTAGGTAAATAATGAGAATAAGAGAATAAAGAAACGATTGGCATTTGCCAGAGGACAGGTTTATGCTAATTTAGCATCTCTCTCAGATGGCCTTTGCTCCTGAAACTGTTCCAGAGCCATATTGAAAGGTTAAATCTGCTCTCTCCCCACAGAACCACGGAGCAGGGATGCAACTGCCTGGTCTTCATCAAAAAGAAAATCTCTATGGCACAGAACCCTGTGCTGGTCTGGATGCAATTGGCAGCATTCACAGTTTGCACCAGTGAAGTATGTATTTGCTGGGGCATCAAGCCGAGTGCCGGATTCTGACATGCTGAAGCCCTAAACTCTGTCCAGTTTAAGAGGCCCCATACGATAAAAATAATGCATGAAATCCACAAAAATGGGTTTTCATGAAATGTTAAAATGAGTTCTTGTTATTTCTGCACAAATTTATGAACTTAATGTGAATAATAACTGTGGAGCCATATATATGTATATTTTTGTCATATTAGAACACAAATGTCCCCGTTTTTCTTATATAGAGGCCCCTCATAGTGAGACCCTAAACTGTAGTTTAGGTAGCTTAAGCCTAAATCTGGCACTGATCAAACCCATTCTTAGCAGATATGAATGAATTCCGGCTGTGGTCAGCTAAGCTTTATCCCAGTATAGTACACTCAGAAGAGTATACTCATTCTTCAAGTGGCAAGAGGAATTCCTCGGTGGTAGGTAGCAGATGTTTGTCTGGCTTAATAACTAGGCGCCGGCATTGATTCAGAATTTCCTGATTTTTCTGACTTTACCGTAATGTTGAAAAAGCCTAAATTGGTTCAACAGATGCTGGAGACAGCTTAACACAATGGACTTTTGATTGTTACAACCCAACAACTTTGAAAACCACGGCAATAAAACATATATCCTCCAACATTTGAGGAATATAAAGAGTTGCACTTCATCTCTATTCCCTCAGTGGCTGCTCTCCCAGGTCTTTTTGGCTACCTTCCAGCTACTTTTCCATATGAATGTCTCTCCCGGTTGACTCATTTTTCAAATTTAATCTTTCATACATTCTTTCACTACCACCCTCACTCCGGCTTTCAGTCGTCACCGTGTAAGCAATAAATAGAATAAAGACCACTCAAAGTCCCAATGGTTTCATCACAGGCAGGGGCGGGAAGTCTTTCAGAATGTGAGCATTCCTGGAAGTAAGAGGAGGTGGGAGATGCTGCTTAAGATTTGACAGCAACGGTAGGAAGCAGGAAAAAATTGTGTTCTAGCTAACCTGGATCTCCTTCTGTTACACAGAATGAGTTCAATGTTGTGTCTGCAAGACAGTTGCTGCTGAACATTAGCTCAACCTAGAGGGAATATGGACCTGTGTGGTTTTAATGAGAATTCATTGCACCTAAAAATGTATCTGAAATGCAATAAAACCCTGCAAAGCATGGTGCTCTACTTGGTAATTCAGCAGAGTTGGAGACTGATCCACCTCCAAACAGAGAAGACAAGATTTGGTAAAGGAGAGGTGCAGTGGTAAACCTCTTGGTAATATATGGTGTTGTAAGGAAGGGAGGGAGCATAGAGTCTGATATTTGGAATAACAAGGTATCCAATCTTAAACATTACAATTCCCCAATACAAATAAACCTAAACCCCACCCTTAGCCTATTCACTCATTGTTAGAAGATAGATAAGAGTTAAAATGGGAGCAGAACAGAGCATTATTCTCTGTTGCCTGTATAGTCCAGAAAAGCAGACACCTTCTTTTGGGAGTGTCAATGTAAGTAATACTGTCAACTCCCCAAATTGTTTTAATGTTTAACTGTCTTAATCTCTACTTTATTTTATTCTTCTTCTGGTGCTAGTTTCTATGTTCAGGCTAATTTTTTCCTTCATTAGATTTTACTCTGTTCAGAGTGTAAAGCAGGGGTCAGTGAACATGGCATGCAAACACATTTTGCTTGCATACACACCTTGGGGCAGACAGCAGGGAAGGTCCCAGGCCGCACTGCTGCAACAAGGATTGGGAACCTTGCAGCTCCCCCACTGTCTGCCCGGAGGTGTGTGTGCACCCGCCTCTGGCAACAAGCTGGGTTGGGGCTCTGTGGACCCTGGTGTAGTTGTCTGCAGCCTCCTTGCTGCCTGCCACGAACAGCCCAGAATCCGTGGCGGGTGGCAAGGGCTGGCCCAGAGCCCGGGCTGGCTGTGACTGGCAGTCAGGAAGCTGCAAGTAGCTAGACTGGGGTCCACAGAGCCCTGGTTCAGCTTGTTGTAAAGATGGGTACATACACACCTGGGGCAGATGATGAGGGCACCCACAAGGAGCCCAATCCTTGTTGTGGCAGTGCAGCCCTGGCCTCTTTCCTACTGTCCACCCTAAGGCACATATACACCTGCTGCTGGCAACGAGCCAAGCCAGGGATCCGTGGACCCTGGTGTAGCCACTGGAAGCCTCCTGGCTGCCTGCCACAGCCGTCTTGGACTATGGGCAGGCCCTTGCTGCCCACCATGAAGCCTGAGCTGCTTGCAGCAGGAAACAGACAGGCTGCAAGTATCTGCACCAGGGTCTGTGGAGCCCCAGCCAGCTCATGGTTGGCAGTGGGTGCATGCGTGCCTTGGGGTGAACAACGGGGAAGACGCCTGGGCTGTACTGCTGCAACAAGGATTGAGCCCTTCTCAGCTCCCCTGCCACTGGCTGCTCTCATGCCAACATCTT